AATACCTCCCTTCTTTTCTGGTCAATATTTGTTTGCCAAGGAAACAATCCTGTGTTAAAGTGACACAGCAGCATTGCTTTCACAGTTGCAAGGCTACCAGCTGAATTTTGGGCACAGTTTTGGGACACCCACTGTACAGAGCTGCACCTGCGGCTGATGAATTAATATTTACAGGGAGGATTTTGTGGTAGAAAGAAGCAGTGACTTGATTCTATTCCCGTTTCTGACAATAGGACCAGGGGGTTGAATTAAATGCAACGCTGAGCACATTTGAAATATTCCACCCTGCACATTTGGTAGCACTGAGGATTGATCTCGACATCCAGCTTGCCAGAAGCCGCGTGTTTGGTATGTACGCGGCGCACTTAGAAATCTAATTCCTAATTCTGTGCTGCACTGGCAATAAGGGACCTCTGACCCCTGCTGCCCTGGCGCACGGAGATTAGATGTGCGGGTGTGACTCGGAGGAAGCTGTCTGAGTTGTTCACTGATGTAGGAAAAAGAGGTAGAGCTGCAGGAACCAAACGAAACCCAAAGCATTTTTATAACCTACCAAGTCCATGCCCAGAAAAGCCATTCGAACCCCAGTTTCCTCAAGAGATAAAAGTCCCCTGTACTGAGGGACTTTCTGGAGCATCTTGTGAGCACGAAGTACAGCCTCCCTTAACTAATGGAAGGCAGCTCAGCGTAGTTGTGTGAAAAGCTCCTGTGACACAAAGCCCAGAAAGGCTTTAGCAAGGGAGCAGAGCACCAGAAGGGTTTAATGGCATCACAGTGTCCTTGAATTACAGTGGCCACAACATAGAGAGGTGTATTGCAGCGGTACGTTAGCAGTAGAAGAAAACCTGCTCTTTCTCTCTGGAGCCCTTGCACCTTTACTGAAAACTGGAGTTGCCATTCCTGAGATATCAAACCTCAAAGGCAGGAGGTAAAGAAAAGGAGAGATGGGTGGGAGTCCTTGGATTATGGAAAGAAAACAAATTGGCTTTCCCCACAAATCACCCACCTTGCTCCAGCCCCTTTGTAGTTCCTATTGCATTTTATAACGTGTTTAATAGTTTTCTGAAATCTATCTGGTTTGGGACCAAGCGTTTGCAAGGGAATTACGATTCCCTTAATAACTGTCAGGAAGCTGTTTGTTGATTTAGTACAGACCCTCTCATTTGTTCGCACTCTCTCGCACACATATCCAAGGGTATGTGCAGTCGCTCCATTCATGCGTTTAATAAACTCGAACCACGGCCATTTCTGCGGTGTGTGGCGAGGCGTGTAAAGCAAGAACCGGAGTACAGGGAGGAGGGCTGGTCGGTAAGGGCTGTTTGTATGAATTAATTCTAAAGAAAATGAGCTTCTTGGCAGACTGAGGAATTGAAATCCATTACAGATTGAAAAGGAGACAGGCAGGCTCAGGAAGGGCACTGGCAGGAGAGGCTTCTCTGCGCTGCCCCATCAACATGAACAAAAGCCATGCGAGGGGGACGCGGGTGCTCCCTCTGCCTGTGTCAGCCGCGGGGACGGCCCGTGCCCCCTCTGCCGGTGTCAGCCGCGGGGACGGCCCGGAGGCTGCCAGCTGCTGAGCTGCGCTTGGCGGGTGTTTGCTCATGTGCACGTTTGTCCTGCAGAGGCTCAGCTGAGTCCCATCAAACTCATTGCACAAAACATTCCCTCATTTCCAACAAACAGCCTAGAAAACTCAAAAGAGACAGACACACTTGATTTTTTTTTCTTTCCATCCATTTTTTTATCTTTCTCTTGCATGGAAGATGAATGGTTCGGATGTGTCTGCGGCAACACGGGCATGGCTGATCTGCCTTTCTATTGATGACCTGTTTCGGAATGTCCTGGCCTGATTTATGAAAATGTGCTGTGCTTGGCGCCATGTTTTGATGTTGCTCTGTTAGGGCTGCATGCAAACTGCAGCGGAACAGTGATGCTTATTCATTCAAACAGTGAAGGGCTGGCTGGGAACTGAATGAGCTCATAGTTGTTGCTGTCTTCACTTACAGAAAGGGAAACAGGAGAAAGAGGGTATCCCAAGCCTAGCCGTTGTTTTCCTGACCAGCAGTTTGTTTTACAAATCATAATCTTGAAAGCACAAGGTCATGGTATTTATTTAATCATTCATATAATAGGTTTTTAGGGATGGATTTTTTTTAACTCTTTCTGTAGTAACCCTGATAAAGTTGGAACTGAGGTCTGTTTGCCTGCCAAATTTTCTTTCTCTTGCTATTGCTTGAGGATTAATGAATTTAAAATCTGAGAGTCTGATTCTCATCTCTTACTGGTATAATTCAGCAGTTATTGCTATTGCCTGGGACAGTCTCAGCCTTGTTCCAGCCTCTGTGTGCTCCTCGCACACCCAGACCAATAAAAGCAGGAGCCAAATCCTACCTGTGGTATCTAGGTGTTCTTCAAAAGCCACTGCTCAGCCAGGGAAGCCTTACCCTGCTGGGAGGATGCTGGGGCAGGTCCCCCATTAGAAGCCCTGGTGCAAGTGTGGAGCAGAGGATGTGCAGGAGGGGAGTGCTGGGAGCAGGGTGATGAAGGGGACACCATGGTGGTTTGGAAACATCCCTCAACTGTGGTTTCTGTGCTGCAGGGCACACAAGTTTACCTGTTACCTGAAATCACTAGGAAATGGTTTCAGTCTTGGGTTGATCACCCATGGGGACATTTAATTGCCTAGTGTGTTAATTAGCTAAGATTGATGAATATGAGGTGTTGCTAGCTGGAACAAGGGGTGGGTGGGAAGTCGCACTGAAAGCTGTTGCCTGGCCCCATGCCCTACCAAAGAAAATCCTTCTCTTCAGGCTGTTCACTTGTGTGTGCGCTCCAGCCTGCAGAGGACAAGGACAAGTGAAGGACCTCAGGGCACTCAGCTCCCAGGCAGAATGTTTTCCTTGGGGCCACCTTGTCTTCAGCTTTGCTCTGTTGCCTCTCGGGTGGAAATCAGTACTTTGAGACTCTGCCCGGTTTGTCTTCTCACTGGCATCCTAGGGAAAAGAGGAAAAGTAGAAAGCAGCAGACAGCTTATTAGCACAGAGGAGTTTTCTGGTTTGAGAACAGCACTTAAAATATAGAAAGGCAACAGGGATAAGTGCAGTGCCAGCAAGGAATAGAGCATTTCCACTTACAGAAGCAAGGTACCCCCAGAGTGGGAGAAGGAGCAGAGGTACCAGGCGCTGCCGGAAGGTCTTCTGACTTCCTGCCTGTTGGACAGGCTATTAGACATCGCAGGTAGGAAGGATGATGTGGTTCTTGCCCTGAAAATTTTACACTTACATTAGCGAGCCTTCGGCAAGGATGCAAGAGTATCGTCTGCTCTCTTGCTGCTGCCCAGATGTGCTGCTCCAATGTGCTTCTGCCTCCAGCCTTTCCTACAGCCATCTCTGCAGGCTCGCATGAAGCTTCTCACAGGGTTTTGCATAGTCTAATCTTCCTCGGCTCGGGCCGGTTTGGATCAGCACTAGGATGACGTGGGTATTACGTTAATGACACGGGCCCCAACCGGAGCAGGGACTCAGCTGTGCTCCGCTGCCTGCTGCGAGGTCCTTCCCTTGCATTGCACATCCCTGTGCTTCTTTGAGGCTTTTTTGACAGCAACTAGGTTTTCTTGCTGTGCAGCACAATGAATTTGAATCCTGACAGGAGCCATTATGAGCTAGTGTAAAACATGCTAACATGGGAATATCCTGAAAACCGTAATGCTACCTGTAAATAAACTCCTTGCTTTCCTG